GCAATACATTCAGGACATGACTTTTGAGGCGCCTCAAAAGTCATGGCAATACATTCAGGACATGACTTTTGAGGCGCCTCAAAAGTCATGGCAATACATTCAGGACATGACTTTTGAGGCGCCTCAAAAGTCATGGCAATACATTCAGGACATGACTTTTGAGGCGCCTCAAAAGTCATGGCAATACATTCAGGACATGACTTTTGAGGCGCCTCAAAAGTCATGGCAATACATTCAGGACATGACTTTTGAGGCGCCTCAAAAGTCATGGCAATACATTCAGGACATGACTTTTGAGGCGCCTCAAAAGTCATGGCAATACATTCAGGACATGACTTTTGAGGCGCCTCAAAAGTCATGGCAATACATTCAGGACATGACTTTTGAGGCGCCTCAAAAGTCATGGCAATACATTCAGGACATGACTTTTGAGGCGCCTCAAAAGTCATGGCAATACATTCAGGACATGACTTTTGAGGCGCCTCAAAAGTCATGGCAATACATTCAGGACATGACTTTTGAGGCGCCTCAAAAGTCATGGCAATACATTCAGGACATGACTTTTGAGGCGCCTCAAAAGTCATGGCAATACATTCAGGACATGACTTTTGAGGCGCCTCAAAAGTCATGGCAATACATTCAGGACATGACTTTTGAGGCGCCTCAAAAGTCATGGCAATACATTCAGGACATGACTTTTGAGGCGCCTCAAAAGTCATGGCAATACATTCAGGACATGACTTTTGAGGCGCCTCAAAAGTCATGGCAATACATTCAGGACATGACTTTTGAGGCGCCTCAAAAGTCATGGCAATACATTCAGGACATGACTTTTGAGGCGCCTCAAAAGTCATGGCAATACATTCAGGACATGACTTTTGAGGCGCCTCAAAAGTCATGGCAATACATTCAGGACATGACTTTTGAGGCGCCTCAAAAGTCATGGCAATACATTCAGGACATGACTTTTGAGGCGCCTCAAAAGTCATGGCAATACATTCAGGACATGACTTTTGAGGCGCCTCAAAAGTCATGGCAATACATTCAGGACATGACTTTTGAGGCGCCTCAAAAGTCATGGCAATACATTCAGGACATGACTTTTGAGGCGCCTCAAAAGTCATGGCAATACATTCAGGACATGACTTTTGAGGCGCCTCAAAAGTCATGGCAATACATTCAGGACATGACTTTTGAGGCGCCTCAAAAGTCATGGCAATACATTCAGGACATGACTTTTGAGGCGCCTCAAAAGTCATGGCAATACATTCAGGACATGACTTTTGAGGCGCCTCAAAAGTCATGGCAATACATTCAGGACATGACTTTTGAGGCGCCTCAAAAGTCATGGCAATACATTCAGGACATGACTTTTGAGGCGCCTCAAAAGTCATGGCAATACATTCAGGACATGACTTTTGAGGCGCCTCAAAAGTCATGGCAATACATTCAGGACATGACTTTTGAGGCGCCTCAAAAGTCATGGCAATACATTCAGGACATGACTTTTGAGGCGCCTCAAAAGTCATGGCAATACATTCAGGACATGACTTTTGAGGCGCCTCAAAAGTCATGGCAATACATTCAGGACATGACTTTTGAGGCGCCTCAAAAGTCATGGCAATACATTCAGGACATGACTTTTGAGGCGCCTCAAAAGTCATGGCAATACATTCAGGACATGACTTTTGAGGCGCCTCAAAAGTCATGGCAATACATTCAGGACATGACTTTTGAGGCGCCTCAAAAGTCATGGCAATACATTCAGGACATGACTTTTGAGGCGCCTCAAAAGTCATGGCAATACATTCAGGACATGACTTTTGAGGCGCCTCAAAAGTCATGGCAATACATTCAGGACATGACTTTTGAGGCGCCTCAAAAGTCATGGCAATACATTCAGGACATGACTTTTGAGGCGCCTCAAAAGTCATGGCAATACATTCAGGACATGACTTTTGAGGCGCCTCAAAAGTCATGGCAATACATTCAGGACATGACTTTTGAGGCGCCTCAAAAGTCATGGCAATACATTCAGGACATGACTTTTGAGGCGCCTCAAAAGTCATGGCAATACATTCAGGACATGACTTTTGAGGCGCCTCAAAAGTCATGGCAATACATTCAGGACATGACTTTTGAGGCGCCTCAAAAGTCATGGCAATACATTCAGGACATGACTTTTGAGGCGCCTCAAAAGTCATGGCAATACATTCAGGACATGACTTTTGAGGCGCCTCAAAAGTCATGGCAATACATTCAGGACATGACTTTTGAGGCGCCTCAAAGTCATGGCAATACATTCAGGACATGACTTTTGAGGCGCCTCAAAAGTCATGGCAATACATTCAGGACATGACTTTTGAGGCGCCTCAAAAGTCATGGCAATACATTCAGGGCATGACTTTTGAGGCGCCTCAAAAGTCATGGCAATACATTCAGGACATGACTTTTGAGGCGCCTCAAAAGTCATGGCAATACATTCAGGACATGACTTTTGAGGCGCCTCAAAAGTCATGGCAATACATTCAGGACATGACTTTTGAGGCGCCTCAAAAGTCATGGCAATACATTCAGGACATGACTTTTGAGGCGCCTCAAAAGTCATGGCAATACATTCAGGACATGACTTTTGAGGCGCCTCAAAAGTCATGGCAATACATTCAGGACATGACTTTTGAGGCGCCTCAAAAGTCATGGCAATACATTCAGGACATGACTTTTGAGGCGCCTCAAAAGTCATGGCAATACATTCAGGACATGACTTTTGAGGCGCCTCAAACGTCATGGCAATACATTCAGGACATGACTTTTGAGGCGCCTCAAAAGTCATGGCAATACATTCAGGACATGACTTTTGAGGCGCCTCAAAAGTCATGGCAATACATTCAGGACATGACTTTTGAGGCGCCTCAAAAGTCATGGCAATACATTCAGGACATGACTTTTGAGGCGCCTCAAAAGTCATGGCAATACATTCAGGACATGACTTTTGAGGCGCCTCAAAAGTCATGGCAATACATTCAGGACATGACTTTTGAGGCGCCTCAAAAGTCATGGCAATACATTCAGGACATGACTTTTGAGGCGCCTCAAAAGTCATGGCAATACATTCAGGACATGACTTTTGAGGCGCCTCAAAAGTCATGGCAATACATTCAGGACATGACTTTTGAGGCGCCTCAAAAGTCATGGCAATACATTCAGGACATGACTTTTGAGGCGCCTCAAAAGTCATGGCAATACATTCAGGACATGACTTTTGAGGCGCCTCAAAAGTCATGGCAATACATTCAGGACATGACTTTTGAGGCGCCTCAAAAGTCATGGCAATACATTCAGGACATGACTTTTGAGGCGCCTCAAAAGTCATGGCAATACATTCAGGACATGACTTTTGAGGCGCCTCAAAAGTCATGGCAATACATTCAGGACATGACTTTTGAGGCGCCTCAAAAGTCATGGCAATACATTCAGGACATGACTTTTGAGGCGCCTCAAAAGTCATGGCAATACATTCAGGACATGACTTTTGAGGCGCCTCAAAAGTCATGGCAATACATTCAGGACATGACTTTTGAGGCGCCTCAAAAGTCATGGCAATACATTCAGGACATGACTTTTGAGGCGCCTCAAAAGTCATGGCAATACATTCAGGACATGACTTTTGAGGCGCCTCAAAAGTCATGGCAATACATTCAGGACATGACTTTTGAGGCGCCTCAAAAGTCATGGCAATACATTCAGGACATGACTTTTGAGGCGCCTCAAAAGTCATGGCAATACATTCAGGACATGACTTTTGAGGCGCCTCAAACGTCATGGCAATACATTCAGGACATGACTTTTGAGGCGCCTCAAAAGTCATGGCAATACATTCAGGACATGACTTTTGAGGCGCCTCAAAAGTCATGGCAATACATTCAGGACATGACTTTTGAGGCGCCTCAAAAGTCATGGCAATACATTCAGGACATGACTTTTGAGGCGCCTCAAAAGTCATGGCAATACATTCAGGACATGACTTTTGAGGCGCCTCAAAAGTCATGGCAATACATTCAGGACATGACTTTTGAGGCGCCTCAAAAGTCATGGCAATACATTCAGGACATGACTTTTGAGGCGCCTCAAAAGTCATGGCAATACATTCAGGACATGACTTTTGAGGCGCCTCAAAAGTCATGGCAATACATTCAGGACATGACTTTTGAGGCGCCTCAAAAGTCATGGCAATACATTCAGGACATGACTTTTGAGGCGCCTCAAAAGTCATGGCAATACATTCAGGACATGACTTTTGAGGCGCCTCAAAAGTCATGGCAATACATTCAGGACATGACTTTTGAGGCGCCTCAAAAGTCATGGCAATACATTCAGGACATGACTTTTGAGGCGCCTCAAACGTCATGGCAATACATTCAGGACATGACTTTTGAGGCGCCTCAAAAGTCATGGCAATACATTCAGGACATGACTTTTGAGGCGCCTCAAAAGTCATGGCAATACATTCAGGACATGACTTTTGAGGCGCCTCAAAAGTCATGGCAATACATTCAGGACATGACTTTTGAGGCGCCTCAAAAGTCATGGCAATACATTCAGGACATGACTTTTGAGGCGCCTCAAAAGTCATGGCAATACATTCAGGACATGACTTTTGAGGCGCCTCAAAAGTCATGGCAATACATTCAGGACATGACTTTTGAGGCGCCTCAAAAGTCATGGCAATACATTCAGGACATGACTTTTGAGGCGCCTCAAAAGTCATGGCAATACATTCAGGACATGACTTTTGAGGCGCCTCAAAAGTCATGGCAATACATTCAGGACATGACTTTTGAGGCGCCTCAAAAGTCATGGCAATACATTCAGGACATGACTTTTGAGGCGCCTCAAAAGTCATGGCAATACATTCAGGGCACATGGCACGAGTATGAGCAGCAGCAGAGTATGAGCACATGGCATGGGTCATACAGGCTACAGCCATGCGGAAGGGATGCTTACCCATGGTAGGAGTAGAAGAGGTTGGGGAAGTGCGAGTAGTAAGCATCGCCCCACGCTTGCATGTACTCATACTCCTCCTCGCTCAGCCGTGGCAGCAGCGTCGGGTCAAACCCCTTTGCTGCTGCATCCCTCCCTGCCCCGCCCCTTGCCGCTGCCAGTGCTATCAGAGCAGTTGCGTTGAAGCCACTGTGACCGCTTGCGCTGTTGTTGCTGGTGGTTTTGGCAGTCGTTTCTTGAAGCATGCGGTGATAGTGGGTGGGCGGATGAGATGATAGGGACGACGGGAGGAGAGTATGGGATGGAAAGGCGGAGTGAAGGGAGGAGGGGAAGGAGGAGGGGAGTGATGTGGGGGTCAAGGGCAGAGCTGTCTGTCCTGGTGGCGAGATAGTGCCTGGTGGGAGGGAGGGGAGGGATGGGGAGGGGAAGAACAATGGGTTAGAGGTCGGAACTGAGGGCTGAGAGGGGTTGAGAGAGCAAGAGGCGGCAGAGCTGTCTGTCCTGGTGGCGAGATAGTGCCTGGTGGGAGGGAGGGGAGGGATGGGGAGGGGAAGAACAATGGGTTAGAGGTCGGAACTGAGGGCTGAGAGGGGTTGAGAGAGCAAGAGGCGGCAGAGCTGTCTGTCCTGGTGGCGAGATAGTGCCTGGTGGGAGGGAGGGGAGGGATGGGGAGGGGAAGAACAATGGGTTAGAGGTCGGAACTGAGGGCTGAGAGGGGTTGAGAGAGCAAGAGGCGGCAGAGCTGTCTGTCCTGGTGGCGAGATAGTGCCTGGTGGGAGGGAGGGGAGGGATGGGGAGGGGAAGAACAATGGGTTAGAGGTCGGAACTGAGGGCTGAGAGGGGTTGAGAGAGCAAGAGGCGGCAGAGCTGTCTGTCCTGGTGGCGAGATAGTGCCTGGTGGGAGGGAGGGGAGGGATGGGGAGGGGAAGAACAATGGGTTAGAGGTCGGAACTGAGGGCTGAGAGGGGTTGAGAGAGCAAGAGGCGGCAGAGCTGTCTGTCTTGGTGGCGAGATAGTGCCTGGTGGGTGGGAGGGGAGATGGAAAGGGGAGAACAATGAGTCAGAAGGCATAACTGATGGGTTGAGAGAGGTTGAGAGGGGCAGAAGGGAGGGGAGGGCGCAGCGCTGTCTGCTTGTTAGCGAGGTATAGCCTGGGTCATGGGAGGGGTGGAATCGGGGGTAGATGGAGGGGGGAGAACAATGAGTCACAGGGCGAGAGAGGTTGAGAGGAGGAAGAGGAGGCAGCACTGTCCGCCTTGGTGGCCAGATATAGCCTGGTGCGTGAGAGGGGGGAGAAGGTAGGGGGGGAGGGGGGGGGGGGCGAGGGGCTGAGAGTGGGGCGGTTATTCTCATCAGAAGAGGATGACTTAACAGCATGTGACTCAAACGAAAGTGCTGTATAATCAACCACGAAAGAACCACTCACGGAGCACAGGAGGGTGGGGCGGTGCCGTTGTCCTGCCCAGGCGCCTTAAGGGGAGCGTTATACTATACACGCCTCTCCACCTGTCGAACGAACCTGACCCAACACATGGCTCACGCGGATTGACGTGTAATTTTTGAGGCACCTCAAAAGCACAAACACCATGACGTGTTCAATCCGAGGTGTTTGTGCTTTTAAGGCGCCTCAAAAGCACAAACACCATGACGTGTACAATCCGAGGTGTTTGTGCTTTTAAGGCGCCTCAAAAGCACAAACACCATGACGTGTACAATCCGAGGTGTTTGTGCTTTTAAGGCGCCTCAAAAGCACAAACACCATGACGTGTACAATCCGAGGTGTTTGTGCTTTTAAGGCGCCTCAAAAGCACAAACACCATGACGTGTACAATCCGAGGTGTTTGTGCTTTTAAGGCGCCTCAAAAGCACAAACACCATGACGTGTACAATCCGAGGTGTTTGTGCTTTTAAGGCGCCTCAAAAGCACAAACACCATGACGTGTACAATCCGAGGTGTTTGTGCTTTTAAGGCGCCTCAAAAGCACAAACACCATGACGTGTACAATCCGAGGTGTTTGTGCTTTTAAGGCGCCTCAAAAGCACAAACACCATGACGTGTACAATCCGAGGTGTTTGTGCTTTTAAGGCGCCTCAAAAGCACAAACACCATGACGTGTACAATCCGAGGTGTTTGTGCTTTTAAGGCGCCTCAAAAGCACAAACACCATGACGTGTACAATCCAAGGTGTTTGTGCTTTTAAGGCGCCTCAAAAGCACAAACACCATGACGTGTACAATCCGAGGTGTTTGTGCTTTTAAGGCGCCTCAAAAGCACAAACACCATGACGTGTACAATCCGAGGTGTTTGTGCTTTTAAGGCGCCTCAAAAGCACAAACACCATGACGTGCACAATCCGAGGTGTTTGTGCTTTTAATGCGCCTCAAAAGCACAAACACCAAGTACTCACGGAGCACAGGAAGGTGGAGCTGTGCTGTTGTCTTGTCTTGCCCGGGTGCGTCAGTGGGAGAGGAGAGGAGTACATGCCCTTCCACCCATCAAACGAACATGACTCGATTGCATGTGAATCAACAGCACGCGGCTCAAACAAAAGTGTTCTAGATCTGACCACGAGCGCACTCACGGGGCACAGGAGGGCGGGGCGGTGCTGTTGTCTTGCCCGGGAGCCTCAGAGGGAGAGGAGTACACGCCCTTCCAGCCATCAAAGGAGCCCCTGAAGGGCGCGGGGAGGTAGAAGTAGGTCCAGCGCAGCCCCCCTGTGAGCTGGCGGTAGAACAGCGGCAACATTCGCACTGCTAGGTTCTGCGTGAGAGCAAACACTTGCAGATGCAGGGCCATGCGCTGTAAGGGGAATAGAGGGGGAAGGGGGTGACAAGGGGAGAAGGAGTGAGCCTCCTGTGAGCTGGCAGTAGAACAGCGGCAGCACCCGCACTGCCAGGTTCTGAGTCAGAGCAAACACTTGCAGATGCAGGGCCATGCGCTGAAAGGGAGAACAGGGCGAGTGCAGAAGGGGAATGGAGAGGAAGAGTGAAGGATTTAGTCCCTCCTTTGAGCTGGCGGTAGAAGAACGGCAGCACCTGCACTGCCAGGTTCTGCGTCAGGGCAAAAACTTGCAGAGGCAGGGCCATGCGCTGAGATGGGAACAGGAGGGGAGGGGGGTGACAAGGGGAGAAGGAGCGAGCCTCCTGTGAGCTGGCAGTGGAAGAGGTTCAACACGCGCACTGCCAGGTTCTGGGTCAGGGCGAACACTTGCATGTGCAGGGCCATGCGCAGAGATGGGAAAGAGAGGGGGGAAGGGGGGGGGGGGGAGAGAAGGGGAAAAGAGAGAAAGAGTGAAGGTTCCGCCCTGGCCACACGTGTGCTGACGGCACGAGGGGGCGCGGTTGGAGACAATGCGGAAGCCTGGGGAAGAGGTGGGGTCGGGTCATTGATGGTGACTGCGAGGGTTGAATGAACCACTCACTATACATGCCATGCCATGCCATGCCTCATGGCTCACCAGAATGTTCCTGGACGGATCAGCCCCCACTACAGGCGTGATAACAGCGCAGACGCTGGGAGAAGAGGTGGGTTCGGACTCCTTCATTGTGACTGAGTGGAGTGTTGAGTTGCCCACATGCACCTCCCAAGACTCACATGCACATATAATTCTCAAGACAACCAGAGACGGAGACTCACCAGTAAATTCCTTGAAGGATCCGCCCCCACAACAGGCGTGCTGATGGCACGGAAGGGGAGGTTGGAAACGATTCGAATGCCTGGAGAAGAGGTGGGGTGGGACTCCTTGATGGTGACCGCGAGGGAGACGGCTGCTGTGGAGAGAGCCGTCCACCCCACCACTGCCGTCACCACCCACGCCGCTATGCTCCCCGCATCTCCCGGGGCGTCTGCATGGGTTTAGAGAGAGAGGGGGAACAGAGAGGGGAAGAGAGGGGAAAAAGGGGCAGAGAGTGCCAAAAAGGAAGGGGGAACGGGAGGGAGGATGGGGAAAAGAGGGGAGCATGAGGAGGAGGTGGGGTAGGACTCCTTGATGGTGACAGCGAGGGAGACTGCTGCTGCTGTGGAGAGAGCCGTCCCACAGCGGTGGTGTGTCGGGATGGGGAGAGAGCAGCAGTGTGTGAGGAGTGTGCTAATTTACAGTGAGCGAGGGAGAGTGTTAGCGCACAGTGAGCGAGGGAGAGTGTTAGCGCACAGTGAGCGAGGGAGAGTGTTAGCGCACAGTGAGCGAGGGAGAGTGTTAGCGCACAGTGAGCGAGGGAGAGTGTTAGCGCACAGTGAGCGAGGGAGAGTGTTAGCGCACAGTGAGCGAGGGAGAGTGTTAGCGCACAGTGAGCGAGGGAGAGTGTTAGCGCACAGTGAGCGAGGGAGAGTGTTAGCGCACAGTGGGCGAGGGAGAGTGTTAGCGCACAGTGAGCGAGGGAGAGTGTTAGCCCACAGTGAGTGAGGGAGAGTGTGCTGGCACATATAGTGAGTGAGGCGGCACATATAGTGAGTGAGGCGGCACATATAGTGAGTGAGGCGGCACATATAGTGAGTGAGGCGGCACATATAGTGAGTGAGGCGGCACATATAGTGAGTGAGGCGGCACATATAGTGAGTGAGGCGGCACATATAGTGAGTGAGGCGGCACATATAGTGAGTGAGGCGGCACATATAGTGAGTGAGGCGGCACATATAGTGAGTGAGGCGGCACATGAGTGAGTGAGGCGGCACATATAGTGAGTGGGGCGTCACATATAGTGAGTGAGGCGGCACATAGAGTGAGTGAGGCGGCACATAGAGTGAGTGAGGCGGCACATAGAGTGAGTGAGGCGGCACATAGAGTGAGTGAGGCGGCACATAGAGTGAGTGAGGCGGCACATAGAGTGAGTGAGGCGGCACATATAGTGAGTGAGGCGGCACATAGAGTGAGTGAGGCGGCACATAGAGTGAGTGAGGCGGCACATAGAGTGAGTGAGGCGGCACATAGAGTGAGTGAGGCGGCACATAGAGTGAGTGAGGGAGAGTGTATCGGAGGGCGAGTTGAGGTTGCCTTGCCTGCAATGTCCACCACCGTTGACTTGAGTTGACTCAAAATGTGCGAGGGAGAGTGTTAACCCACAGTAGAATGAGGGATTGTTATTCTAAGGTTGGCACGTACAGTGAGTGAGGGAGAGCGTGTTGGAGGGCGCGTTGAGGTTGCCTGCTATGTCCACCACTGTTGCTGCCGGCACCGATACTGTCACATCGCCATCACTCACTGCTGCCACTGTCGCCTCGTAGTACCGCCCCAAACCCCTGTCCACTCCTGTCCAGCTGAAACAGGAATAGGAGATGGACGAACGTGGGAGGGGGCATGGTGGGGGGGAAGGATATGGAAACGGATGAAGGGTCCGTCATTGCTCACTGCCGCCACTGTCAGAGTACAGGGCGGCAGTGGCGAAGGGGTGCCGCCTCTGTCACCTTGTAGTACTGGCAGTACGGAGGGGTACTGGCAGTACGGAGGGGTACTGGCAGTACGGAGGGGTACTGGTAGTACGGAGGGGTACTGGCAGTACGGAGGGGAGAGGGGGGGGAGTGTTTTGAGACGTCCGTTGCTGCTCACTGCTGCCACTGTCAACTTGTAGTACCGGTAGTACAGGGGGGAGAGGGGGGGAGGGGGGGGAAGGGGGTATGGAATTGAGTGAAGGGAGAGCATTACAGTAGAGTCTCACTCCCCATGTACGTACTAAACACGTATGCCATGCGATGCCTGCCGTGGGAGGTAACGTTGGAGTTGGAGAGCTGAAGGGAAGAGAGGAGCTGTTGACGCCCAGCACACGCTCTGAGAAGGCGACAAGGATTGGGATGGGGTCAACCCCCAACCCAAGCCGTGTGGTGCCAACCCATCATGTTGTTTTTGAGAATTCTAAAAAACAGCCTACAACATCATGGGGATGGGGTAGACCCCCACGCCGTGTGGTGCCAACCCATCAATCCCCATCCCCCCAGCCATGCACTACCACACACATCTATTTCACTCACCAAGTGATGACCCCGGTGGAGAGCTGAAGCGAGGAGCTGTTGAATCCGAGCACGCGCTCTGAGAAGGCGACGAGGATGGGGGTAGACTAGAGTCTAGACCCCCCGGCCTTGTGATGCCAGCCCATCCCCTTCCCCCCAGCCATGTGGTATGGTACTATACTACAGCACACGTCTATTTCACTCACCAGGTGATGACTCCGTTGGACAGCTGTATTGAGGAGATGTTAAAGCCCAGCACGGGTTCCGAGAAGGCGACGAGGATGGGGTAGACCCAGTCCGTGGTGGCGCTGCTCTCACTCGCGCTCAGCTGCACCGTTGGAGGCGTGGTGTCTGGTGGGGGGAGGGTAGGGAAGGGGGAGAAAGCATGGAAGAAGCATGGTGAAGAGGCAGGAGGGAGGGCGACGAGGATGGGGTAGACTCTGTCTGTTGTTACGCTGCTCTCGCTCAGGCTCAGCTGCACTGAGGGTGGCGTGGTGTCTGGTGGGAGTTGGGCAGAGAGGGTGGCGAAACGGAAGCGGGAGAGGGAAAAGTGGGGGCTGAGTGCCGCATGGTAGAGAGGAAGGAGAGACGGTGAGAAGGCGACGAGGATGGGGTAAACCCAGTCCGTGGTGGCGCTGCTCTCACTCACGCTCAGCTGCACCGTTGGAGGCGTCGTGTCTGGTGGGAGGGGAGGGGGGGAAGAGATGGAGGGAGAGAGGGAGGGAGGAGGAGAAGGGGGTGACGAAGAGAAAAAGAGGAGAGGGGAGGAGGATGGGTGGGCACACCAGAGAAGAAGAAGAGGCGCGGCGTGGGGTTAGTAAAGAGGAAGAAGAACGACTGTGCGGGCTGGCAGGTGGAAGAACAGAAAGTGTGGCAGGAAGAGTGCAGCAGAGTGTGGTGGGAGAAGGGTGGGTGGGGTGGGTGGAAGGCAAGGTGGGGCGGGTGGGAATACCAAAGAAGAAGAAGAAGGGCTGAGTGGGCTGGCAGGTGTTGCCGGCAGCATCGGTGACATTCTCATGCCGTATGTCCACCACCACTGACCCCTCGCCCGTCGGCCACACCTTCCACGTGTCATCATCAGGGAAGGAGCAAGGGAAAGCATTGGTGGTTGATTGCGGGTAGCACGGGAGAGCCGGGCATGCAGGCAGTAGTATCAGTGATGTGTTCACCATATCTCCCACGTACGGCAGTATCAGTGGCCGTATGTCCACCACCACCACTGAGTCCTCGCCTCGCCTGCGGGCTACACCTGCCATACGCCATCAGAGAAGGAGCACGGGAAAGCATTGGTGGTCGAGGGTAGCACAGGAGCATTCAGTTGGTGACATTCTCATGCCATGCCATGTGTCCTGTCCACCACTAAGCCTTTGCCTGTGGGCCACACCTGCCAAATACCATGAGAGACGCAGCAAGGGCAAGGATTGGTGGTTAAGGGTAGCACGGGGGCATGCAATCGGTGGCATTCTCATGCCATACGTCCACCACTGAACTACTCATCTACCTGGAAAAGGCCCATATCTACCTGAACTGCCTGGACTGTCACGTCATCGATCGAATGCTGCAATGCTACCTGGAGGGTCAGCGTCACTCTCAATCAAGTCCCACCCCACCTGGGAGTTGTAAGTTAGAGTACCCCATGGGCCCCTGGAATAAACAAAGCCCACCTGGAACTGGTATTCCAAGTCGGAGACAGCTTGGGGCCCGCTGGTGGTGGCGTTGGCGACAGCGAGGGACGCGGAGGAGAAGGCAGAGACTGGCTTGGAGAAGAGCACCCGGCACGTCACGGGTGACTGGGAGACTCGTGGCGTGGCTCTGAGCTGTGTGAAGTACTTGACCACTGCCAAGGGCGTGTCGCAAGTGAGAGTGGCCTCCAGAGGAGCGCGGTCTGGAAGAGGGAGTGGAAGGGGTGGGATGGGAGGTTAGAGGGTGCTGTATGTAACTGGCGACTGGCTGACCTGCGGTGAGGGTTGGGTGGGTGGGTTGAGGGTGCTGTAGTGATGGGCGACTGGCTGACTCATGGCGTGGCTCTGAGCTGAGTGAACTACTTGACCATTGCCAAGGGCGTGTCACAGGAGAGAGTGGCCTCCAGAGGGGCGCGGTCTGGAAGAGGGGAGAGTGGGGAGGGGGGATTGGTGGGGGTGGTTAGGGTTGAGTTTGGGAGGTTGAAGTTGAGTTTTTGAGGGTTGAGAGTGCTGTAGACTGTAGTGATGGACGACTGGGAGACCATTAGCGTGGCTCTGAGCTGAGTGAAGAACTTGACCACTGCCAAGGACGTGTCGCACGAGAGAGTGGCTTCTAGAGGGGCGCGGTCTGGATGGAAGGAAGGGAGGGGAGGAGGGGTGGGTGGGTTTGGATTGGAGGAGATAGGGATGGGGGAGGTTAGGTTGGGTTGGGTGGGGAAGGTTGAGAATGGCATTGTAAAGGCATGGCTAGAAAATGCATGGTCAAAGGCATGGCTAGAAAATGCATGGTCAAAGGCATGTGAGGGAGGCACATGTCTACTCGTGCACATGCAATCACACTATCAAGAGGCACTGGCCTGAGACGCAGGGGATTAGGGCATAGGGGCACACGTGTTCTACTCCATGCATTCTCTTCACTGCTGCAGTCGTCTCAGGTGTGCCTTGTTGCAGTCGTCTGCACAGCAGCAGGTCAAGCTTTGCCATCCATGCATGCCCACTAACCTATCCTGATGGCAGCATAAGAGTTAAAGCCTGCCGTCCACGACCTCCCACTCGAGTCGGCACAGCTGCCCGGCCTTAAAGCCACAGTTACAGCGGCACCACTAGCACTGCTACTGCTGCTGCTGTTGTCGGTAGAGTTGTTAGCACTGCCTCCGCTACTGCTGCTGCTGGTAGTGGTGATGCTGCTGGTGGTGGTGTCGGGTGGCAGGGAGGCAGTGACGGAGTATCGACTCCCGTCATCTGAGGCCAGGAACGAGGAGGGGTCAATGCTCACTACGCCCTGCGGTGATGCTTCGATCTGATGTGTGTGAGAGAGGGAAGGAAAGGGAGAAAGGGTGGGGGAGAAAGAGGAAGAGGAGAGGAGAGAGGGGAGGAGGGAATGAGTTGGTTTGAATGCCGGGAGAGAGGAGCGATGGGATAAGGTTGGGGTGGAAGGTACCTCAATGTGACTGAGGGGGTACACGGACAGTGAAAGCTGGCCCAAACAATACACTATGTAAACATTTCCTCCATTTCTTTTCATACAGAACGAGGCATACGCGTAGAGAAGCAATCGCGTACGTCACAGGCAGTGGAGTTGCACTGCAATCCCGGGCAGGGCTTGTTGAATGAGATGCTGATCTGCACCGCGCCTTCCCTTGCTTGTGGCGGGTCCACTGTCAACGTTGGCACTGGACTGGCCGCGTCTGATGGGATGGGGCACATGGGGATGGGGCGAAAAAGCACAATCCATAGGCCGAAATGTCAGAGGCGTGCACTGCCGAAGGCTCGGGCAGGGCTTGTAAAAAGAAATGCTGATCTGCACCGCGCCCTCCCTTGCCTGCGGTGGGTCCACTGTCAGCGTTGGCACTGGATTGGCCGCGTCTGATGGGAACCAAGATTGGAGGCAAGGAGAAGGGGAAAGGAAGGAGCAGAGCAGTGCATTACAGAGGGCGGGATTTCGGTGGAGTTGCACTGCAGGCCCGGGCAGGGCTTGTCGAAGGCTATGCACATCTAACAAATGATGGTGCTCTGTTCTGCAGATGCGTATAGAAGCCGATCAGGCCACCTAACAAGAGGAGAGTAACGAACAGAGCAGCTTACCAACGACCCATTCATATGTGGCCTGTGCTTGCGCCTCCACCTGCGCCCCTCCCCTTCCTCCCCCTCCCCCTCCCCCTCCCCCTCCCACCCCTCCTCCCCCCTCTCCGCCCATCCCAACAGCAGCAGCGGCGGCCTGCAGGCGGGTACCAGTGACCCCTGGCGCGCCCGTGAGCGCCGTGACTGTGAAGCGGTGGGGGCCGTCCGTCAGCCCACGCGCTGTGAACCACCCGCGCGGACAGGGGAAGCTGGGGAGCGAGTCCAGCTGTGAGGGGGGGGGGCGGCAGGGAGGGGAGGATAAGGATGGGTTTACTGTGAAGCGGTGGGGACCATCCGTCAGCCCGCGTGCTGTGAACCACCCCCTCGGGCAGGGGAAGCTGGGGAGGGAGTCCAACTGTGAGCGGACGGGGAGAGGAGGAAGGGGAGGAGAAGGGGATGAGCTTGTGCGTGGGTTCACAGGTGCAGGCGGGGCGGGTGCCAGTGACCCCCGGCGCGGCCCTGAGCGCAGTGACTGTGAAGCGGTGGGGGCCGTCCGTGAGGCCGCGAGCTGTGAACCACCCCCTCAGGCAGGGGAAGCTGGGGAGGGCGTCTAGCTGCGGAGAGGGGCGGGAGGGGCGGGAGGGGCGGGAGGGGCGGGAGGGGCGGGAGGGGCGGAGAGGGGCGGGAGGGGCGGGAGGGGCGGAGAGGGGCGGGAGGGGCGGAGAGGGGCGGGAGGGGTGGAGAGGGGCGGAGAGGGGCGGGAGGGGCGGAGAGGGGCGGGAGGGGCGGAGAGGGGCGGGAGGGGCGGAGAGGGGCGGGAGGGGCGGGAGGGGCGGAGAGGGGCGGGAGGGGCGGAGAGGGGCGGGAGGGGCGGGAGGGGCGGGAGGGGCGGGAGGGGCGGAGAGGGGCGGGAGGGGCGGGAGGGGCGGAGAGGGGCGGGAGGGGCGGAGAGGGGCGGGAGGGGCGGAGAGGGGCGGAGAGGGGCGGGAGGGGCGGAGAGGGGCGGGAGGGGCGGAGAGGGGCGGGAGGGGCGGAGAGGGGCGGGAGGGGCGGGAGGGGCGGAGAGGGGCGGGAGGGGCGGAGAGGGGCGGGAGGGGCGGGAGGGGCGGGAGGGGCGGAGAGGGGCGGGAGGGGCGGAGAGGGGCGGGAGGGGCGGAGAGGGGCGGAGAGGGGCGGAGAGGGGCGGGAGGGGCGGAGAGGGGCGGGAGGGGCGGAGAGGGGCGGGAGGGGCGGGAGGGGCGGGAGGGGCGGGAGGGGCGGGAGGGGCGGAGAGGGGCGGGAGGGGCGGGAGGGGCGGAGAGGGGCGGGAGGGGCGGAGAGGGGCGGGAGGGGCGGAGAGGGGCAGGAGGGGCGGAGAGGGGCGGGAGGGGCGGAGAGGGGCGGGAGGGGCGGGAGGGGCGGAGAGGGGCGGGAGGGGCGGAGAGGGGGCGGGAGGGGCGGAGAGGGGCGGGAGGGGCGGAGAGGGGCGGGAGGGGCGGAGAGGGGCGGGAGGGGCGGGAGGGGCGGAGAGGGGCGGGAGGGGCGGAGAGGGGCGGGAGGGGCGGAGAGGGGCGGGAGGGGCGGAGAGGGGCGGGAGGGGCGGGAGGGGCGGAGAGGGGCGGGAGGGGCGGAGAGGGGCGGGAGGGGCGGAGAGGGGCGGGAGGGGTGGGCAGGCAGGGGTGGACGGAGAGAGGGGGAAGGGCGGAGGGGGAAGGGCGGAGGGGGAAGGGCGGAGGGGGAAGGGCGGAGGGGGAAGGGCGGAGGGGGAGAAAGTGAGGTGGGAGAGAGAGGTGGGAGAGGAAGGCATGGGAAAGAAGCATGTGGTTACGGATGTGTGGGAGAGGACGCTTGCAGAGGACGCCTGCAGAGGACGCCTGCAGAGGACGCCTGCAGAGGACGCCTGCAGACGGGAGGGCAGGGGGGAACGAAGACGCAGGTTGCGGACTGGGGGATAGGGGGGGACGCACCTTGCAGAGGTAGGTGCAGGAGGGGAGGACCGGGGGAGGGGGGCTTGCAGAGTGGGTGTGGAAGGGGGGGGGTTGGGGGGGATGGTGGTTAAAGGGGGACGCACCTTGCAGAGGAAGGTGCAGGCGTTACAGCGGGCGGGTGAGCGCAGGGGGAGAACAGGAGGGGAGCATAAGTGGAGAACAAGGGGAGACCGAGTGCAGGAGGGGGACGCACCTTGCAGAGGAAGGTGCAGGCGTGACAGCGGGCGGGCGAGTGCACGCCTGTCGTCTCCAGCGCATGCCACGAGAAGCGCGCACGCCCCACCTTCGCCACGCCCCTTGGCCTGCGCACAAACGACACCACCAATGCCGGCGCGGACGCTACAGGCGCTACAGGCGCTGCGGGCGGTGCAGGCGCTGCGGGCGCTGCAGGCGCTGCGGGCGCTACAGGCGCTGCGGGCGGTAGGGGCGGCACAAAGGCTACAGGCCACGCGGATGACGTGGACAAACGCGCCTGCAGTGCAACAAACGCCGCGCCACCACCGCCTCCAACACTACCACCACCACCACCACCAGCAGCTGTAGCGGAACCAACAGCTGTAGCGGTGCCAGAAAGAGCCTGCTCCTGTAGCGGCTGGCCTGGCTGCGGCTGCTTCAGGCCAACTGGCACGAGCACGGCCGTGAGCCGAACGGCTGCCTGTAACACCTGACAGGGTAACTGCTCAAAGCCCCCGCAGAGCCGACACGGCTGTGCGACCGCCGCGGACGCTGTCACTGTAACGGTCAGCGTCGCATTGACGATAGGGTTACCAGCAGTGCTGCTTTTACTGTTCGCTGGGCTGCGACTGGTCGCAGGCAGAGCGGCAGCAGGCAGAGCCCATGACACGTCCCCCATGTAGCACGCGAACGGGCGGGTGCGGCCGCACCGACCCACGGGCCTGCACGGCCCTGCTGTGAGCATCTCGCGGCCATTAACGCGTATGGACTGTACCGTCCGGTCGGGCAACTCGAAATCCGTTGGAACTACACCCACTGCGAGTACGTACGTGAGTCGCCACTCTGTGCTGTTGTAACTGTAACTGTCGCTGCTGTTCGCATTCGCATCAGCATGTGATGGTAACAGCCCTGTGGAAGTTCGGTCCAGCTCCCCCTCCTGCCCCAGTGTCTTGCGCCCCTCCCGCGCCAGTCCCCGCGCCAGCTCCCCCCGCGCCGGTCTCCCCGGAGCCAGCTCCCCCCGCGCCGGTCCCCCCCGCGCCGGTGCGCCCCGGGAGCGGCCCCATGACGGGGTCGTCCTGGCGGCGGTTGGGCGGAACGAGCGGGGAGGCGCAGAAGGTGTCGACGAATGAGAGCACGCGGTAGGCTGAGGGGAGGACTTGCGCGCGCGCGGGGGAGAGGGGGAAGAGGAGGAGGAGGAGGAGGGAGAGGACGAGCGGGAGGCAGAGAGGAAGGCGGGCGAAGAGCGGAACGCAGGCGGAGGGGGAGGGGAAGTTAGCGGCGGAACGGAGACGATGAGCAGTTAGGATGTTAGCGGAAGCACGAACAGAGCTACGCGAAACCCTAAACCCACCCGTATTCTCCATATCCCAACGGCCCTTCCGTGCGCCTTCCCGTGCAATCTCCCCCTGTTCGCCGCTAGCATTGTCGTGTAGTCTACAGTCGCCACTCGTCTTTCCGCAAACGCCAAAACTGTCCGCCCAGCAGCCCGAGCCCCTGAATTTACTATGCCTACTGCGCCTATTTTCCCCGCTTGACTGCCCGTTCCCACACCAGCCATGGCAGCTAGGAAATTTTCCGTTACCCCATGAATCTACATCGCTGCTGCTGCTGCTGCTGCTGCCATTCTTGCTGCTGCCACTCCTGCTGCAGCCTTCCCTGCTGCTGCCGCTGCCGCTACTGCCATCATCAGTCAAACCATCGTCACGAACCATCTCGCGTGTGTTCACAACGTCCCAACCTTTGCTACGACGGCCGCTACCAACGCCACCAAAAAAGTCACGCAGGAGGAGATGCATGTAGCGCCGTCGCCAGCTCCGTTACCGCCAAGCCGCACCCTCTCTAGGTCTACCGTGTCGGCGCGTTTTACGGAGCATGTAGCTGCGCACCGAGCGGAGCATCGAGCATCGCAAATAGCGGCGCATCTAGCGGCGTCGGAAAGAAGAACGCTAACCGAGTTTGCTGCTGCGTCCCAATGAAAGGCTCCCACTGACTGCTCGTTCGACGCCCACGCGCTTGCTGGAGGGTATTTGCAGTAACGAAACGGGTTCGCCCCATCCTCGCTAGAAACGGCTTCGTGTTTACTTCTGCTGTGTTCTTCCCCTCCACAGACTTCCCTCCTCCACCCTTTCGAACGTTTGCCATGCCGCTCCCCGTAATAATAATTGCTGCTCTCCCCGTCCCTGGTAGCTGCTGCATCGTCACCGAACAGTACGGATTGTTGCATCGCATCGTCGCCGTTCGATGAGGAATGTTGCGTCGCGTCGTCCCATCTATCAATGCGATCAGCCGCTTCCATGAAAGCGGCTTCTCTCTGACCCATTACCTTCCTTCCAGCCCAATGGGCAGACATTAGTTACAAAAGGTCGCCTACAGTCACCGTTCAGACTAAATCAGGTCTTGGTAAACTATGTTCGATGTGGGCAGGAGAAGTCTCGAAGGAACTAAGGAGCCACTGCATTTCGCAGCGTATCACCGCTAACATGGGCTACTCGAAATTGCGTGACTAGACATTTCGCATGTTGGGTTTTGTAGGTCGCGTCGCAGCAGCTGTTCCTCCGTTTCCCACATTCGTGGGAACTGCCTTGATTAGGGCGGGGTCAGGATGCACAGTTCGACATTTTAAAGCTGCGGTCTACATACCAAAGGGTATTTTCTGGGGGTATTTCGGGTGCACACCCTAAGACGCAGTCTGATTTGCACACGAAATGATCCCTTTCCAGAAATGAGAGCGCGAAGGATTCAAACACAACTGGCGAATCCCGCCAGTTTCGTGCAAGGTTTGGTTGGGGGGGTACTTTTTTCGTGAGGTTGGGGTTGTGGTGGCGATTTCGCCACAACCTGCAACCAATCGAGGTTGGGGGGTAGATTGGCGCGAAATTTGTAAGCCAATCCTGAGCAGGCCAACTTTCAGAGGGGGGGTTGGGTTGTCAGAAAGCAGTAACTGCACCTCGCCACCCAAGGATGGAGCGAAGCCCTGTGCTACCTGGTTTTCAAGTGATAAACCAGGTCCTCCCGCAGGAGGTATGTAGGGAGTTTCAGAAGTTTTGAAATTTGAAAACTGGTTACCCTATTACAGCTCATTTCCCTCGTCCCACAAGGGAGATGATCCCCCTGACACCCCGCACCGTCTCCTCTAATTGTGCCAGGAAGGAGGAAGGTAGGTTGCTTTGGGGAACCCCTGAGTTCCCGTACTGAAGGCGCTTCGCGGGTCTGGGAGTCTGCAACCCTGAACCGCTCTGGAAACATTTGGAACGTACAGAACCACCAGCTGAGTCAGAAAAAAACGAACCAAGGATGCATCTTGGTGGTGTGGAATTGGATGCAGGACCAGCAATTTCGCGGCTCGGACTCCCAGAAGGAAGGGTACCAATAATTGCGTTCTGGGTCAACCTCAATCCCCATAGTTTTGAACGAATCCTCGCATGTGCTAATCTTAGTGCACTTGTTCTGCTGTCCGCAACCTTACGCACTCTAACGGATTTCATATAAGGCGGACATTGCACCAAATTTTCCACTAGCTCAAACTTGGTTGGTGTAGTGTACTTTCCCGCCAACTATGCTGTACCCCGCTGCTGCATACCAAACACAAAGACTCGGGTTGGTCGGAGGATCAACTTCACAGAATCTACGATCCGTTTATATGGCCCTGCTCGACAGGCACGCAAACCCTTCCGCGGCACGTTCGCGGCTGTTTCGACTTAGGCCTTTTTTCAACGGTCAGCCCGCAATCTGGTGTTTCTGGGCTTTAACGCTCTGTAACAGGAAGGGTTAAGGGTTAGCCTGTCGAACGCGACGTTAAAGCCAGGGTCTCAAGTAAGCTAAGGAGCCGTCAACTGCAAAGCAGTTGACGCTAGGTTACCTAGTTATTGCCGACGAAGTTCTTTCTGGTTGGGTTGAAAAATCAGCTTGCGACACACCCCAGAAGCGATTGCACAACACTTTTGAGTACTTGAGACTTTCGATGATTTGGGGGCATTTTAGGTTTGGCTCCGAACCAAGTTTCCAAACCTAGAAGGTTCGGGTACACCCAACGATTTGCGTTCAGTTCGCACCCCTCGCTTCTCCCCACTTCAAACCTTTCACCTCGCCAACCAATCGCAGCCCAACTTTCACCAGCAACTGCAAAACACTTGTAGTACTTGAGACCCTGGCTTTAACCCTTCAAGTTCAGCCCCCCCGAAAGCTCCCAGCCCCTTCTCTCACGCGTAGACTTTAGCCTAGCTCTAGCCCAGCCCTCCAATCCCCAGAATGGGGGTTGGCCAAGGGCTAGGCTAGGGTTTCATACGGGAGGGATTACCCACCCCATACCCTACGAAAATTTTCCCACCAGAGCCCGTGCCCTAGCCTCTCCCATCTCTGCCCTGAAAATGTCCCATCCTCCCACAACCAAACCAGTCAGCGAGAGAAGTGCACGTTTTTTTATTCCATTGATTTACCCTGGTGCCCATGCCATCCCTCCACAAATTTTTATCCCTGCCCACGATGAAGATGGTGGAAGGAGGGGCTGCAACATCCCCATGACAACCCCCTCCTTCCGACCTTGGGAGGCGCTGCTTCCGATTTGGGGGGAGGGGGGGGGTGGGCTAGGAGAAGTTACTTCGAAATCACATCTTAGCTCTAGCCTAACCCTAGCGCTCCAAGGAGGTGCCTGCCTGTCGAGCAGGGCCTATGGTTTGATACGGTACAGAGCATGAAGACCTGGTTTCATTTGTTTTCCGTTTTGGAACATGGATCGTCGAACCAAACCTTGAGGGTCGGGATTAGTTCAGGACACTACCTAACCAACTCACCCCTGAATGGCATCTGATCGTCATACCCATCCATTCCCAATTGGCATTCGGTTCTCCGTCAAGCAACCCAACTGCAGTTCGGTTCAGTACGTTGCAAAACTTGTCGATCTGATTGTACGGTGCTTATTTGCGGGATGTGCTTCTTTCAAGGCAAATCTGCTTTGCATGCGTTCCTAGGCACCGTGACAGGTCGAAATTCGTCAATAGCATGCTTTCTCGAAGCTCTTTATTTCGCCATGCATGCTATGAGGACGAGGAGAGCCTATCATGCATGCGTCCGTTACAAGAACAGGTGGAAACGTACGCCATGCATGCCGTTTTGGAGTTATCCAATTCACCATGTTTGCATTCGTGAGGTTACAGGGTGGAATACGTGATTCTTCATCCATACGGTCTATAAGCTCAGGCGGAGTTCACCCAGCCATGCACGAGAATGGAGCAACTTAGCCGAACCTAAACTTCAAAGGCAGCGGACCCTTCAAGATCCATCTCATCCAACTCCAGTCTCACATGCAATGCATTCAATTCTGTTCTTTTCCTATCCATTCTAGATATGCTATCTTCCTATCCGTTATAGGTCTGTTCTTTTCTTTTCCGCTCTGGATCTGTTTTTTTCCTACTTTCACACCGTTTCCCTTATCCATCCAGTCATCAGAATCTAAATCTGCCTTTTAAAACTAGCTTCTCCACAGCACAATAGTGTTGCAGCGCAATACCTCTGAGGATCCAGATCCAGGTGCTGGTCTATACTCTCATTTTCGTAATGGTTTGTGTGCTGTTAATTCAAGATTGTGTGGCCCTCGTATTATGTAGATATAGGTTCTGATACATTGCACCCATGTTGTATAGAGTAAATGCAATGGTGCAGAACCTATATCCACATAATAAGAGGTCCTCCCATTCTTGTGATGTACTATTATTTGATCTAGTTTCGTGCCTTATCCTCTTTTGTATGCTCTTGCCTTGATTTTCCTTCTTTCCTTGTTTCAGCGTGGCCGTGTCCCTGCGCCCTTTGCCGTCTTTAGCAGATCATTCATATCGCAGTCCACTAAGAGGGCGCTGGAGGTGGAGAGGCAGGCAGCGCATGAATGTGTGCCCTTGCAAATCGCATGCTGGTTTTTGCCTTTACCGCTCTGTACCACCCCATCCTCAGAGATCCAGCGCTGGAGCACATCATGTCGCAGTCCACTAAGATCACTTCGCTGGAGGTGGAGAGGAGAGGCAGACAGTTCTTGCATGTGTGCCCTTGCAAATTGCGTTCAAAAGTAACTGCTGGTTCAAAACTTTTGAAACAACAAAAGGATACAAATTACCATGTTTCTCAGAACTAGGCCACTACGCACGATAGGCCGAAAACTACGTAGATAAGCAGATCGCGATTCAACAACCAGCGCAAAGAACCCGTTTCCGACACAAACAGCGACGTAACTAGAAGTATAGAGTCATTACGCGTCCGCACCAACGCCAGTTCCGCCCTCTCACACTCGCCTCTCCCGCATCACACGCGTTCGACATTGAAACAGCACTAGCCGCGCCCGCTAGCTTTCAAACGCGGCATCCCTCCGCCTACCACTCTCGTCGCGCCGCATCAAACCGCTGCTTGTGGCCTAGCCGGCGCCGGTTCTAGTCACCTCGCCGAGCCGATCACAACGGACCTCCTTTCATTAGCCTCGCCTCGTTGTCCGTCGCGGCGTCGCATCGCCTCACCTCGCTGCCTCCTCACACCTCCTTGAACACGCACGCTGCATCTGAAACTGCCGAACAGCGGGATCTCGCACGATCACAGTCGCCTCCCGCTCGCGCAGCTTTGTTACCCCGTTTCCGCACTAGCCACGGCAGCCGCACTTGAGGTCGCGACGGACTGCCGAAACGGTCTCCTTGACCAGCCAATTCTTCTCCCCTTCCCAGCGCCTTCCCATCTCCCCTTTTCGCCTCCCTATTTCGCCTGCGTGGCTCCGTATCTCGCGTTAGTGCCTCCGAATTCCCACTTTCTGCCTTCCGATCTCCCTTTCTTGCCTCCCTGTTCCGATCTTCCCTTCCCTCTTTCCCCATTTCCCCTTGCCTTCCCGCATCCCCAATTCCCCTTTCCTCCACCGCAATTCCCCTTCCCGTGTCATGATTACCCCTTCCCGCCTCCCTGGTTTTCCTTCCCGCCGCGCATTTCCCCTTTCTGCCTCCCCGATTCCCATTCCCGCTCCCAGTATCCCCTTCACACATTTGCGTTTTCCCTTCCCGCACCCCATTTCCCCTTCCCGCACCCCATTTCCCCTTCCCGCCTCCCCGTTTCGCATTCCCGCTCCCCGTTTCCTCTTCCCACATTCGCGTTTCCCCTTCACGGTCCCCATTACCCCTTCCCACCTCCCCGTTTCCCCTTCCCGCTCCCCGTTTCCCCTTCCCGCTCCCCGTTTCCCCTTCTCGCTCCCCGTTTCCCCATCCCACCTTCCCGTTTCCCCTTCCCGCTCCCCATTATCCCTTCCCGCTCCCCGTTTCCCCTTCTCGCTCCCCGTTTCCCCATCCCACCTTCCCGTTTCCCCTTCCCGCTCCCCATTATCCCTCCCCGCCTCCCCGTTTCCCCTTCTCGCCTCCTCGTTTTTCCTACCCGCCTCCCCGTCTCCCTCTCGTTTCTCCACCTTCTCCCTCTCGATTCCCCCCTTCCTCCTCTCGTTTACCCCCCTCCCCCCTCTCATGTCCCCCCTTTCTCCTTCTCATTTTTCGCCATTCTCCCCCTCATTCCCCCCCCCCGTTCTCAATCTCACTTCCCCCCTTTCTCCCTCCCATTTCCCCGGATGTGCCCCCTCATTCCCCCCCCCTCCCCTTTCCCCCTCTCGTTTCCCCCCCATTCACCTGCTCATTTCCTCCCCTTCTGCCTCCTATTGCCCCATTCGCTGCCTCTCATTTTCGCCCCTTCTCCCTCTCATTCACCCCCCCTTCTCCCTCTCGTTTCCCCACCTTCTCCCTCTCGTTTCCCCCTCCCCCCTCTCGTCTACCCCTCTCCCCCCTCTCATGTCCCCCCTTTCTCCTTCTCATTTTTCCCCATTCTCCGTCTCATCCCCCCCCCCCCCCTTCTCAAGCTCACCTACCCCCTTTCTCCCTCTTAGCTCCTCTCTTCCTACGCCCTGCTTCCCCCTTTACTCTCTCGTCCCTACACCCTTCATTCCCCTCTCCGCTCTCTGCCTTATACCCTTCTACCTCCTTTCCCCTCTCTGTCTTACACCCCTCTTGATCTATTCTCCACTCTGCCTTACTCCCTTCTTCCACCTTTCCCCTCTCTACTCCACACCCTTCTTCTCCCACCATGCGTTCTCCCCCTTATATCCTGCTAAACCCCATTTCCCTCTCTTCCCTACACCCTGCTTCCCCCTCTCTCTTCTCTGCCTTACGCCCTGCTTTCCCCTTTCCCCTATCTTCCCTACACCCTTCTTCCCTCTTTCTACCCGCGCTGCTTCCCTTTTTCCCTATCTCCCTTTCCCTCTTTCACCCTGCTTCTCCCGTACCCCTCTTCCGTACCCCCTTCTGCCCCCACCTTGCGTCCTCTCTTTTTACGCCCTGCTTCCCTCTGTCCCCTCTCTGCCTTACGCCCTTTTTCCCCCTCTCTCCACTCTGCTTTACCCCCCGCTTCCCCGTTACCCCTAACCCGCCTCCCCGTTTCCCCTTCCCGCCTCCCCATTACCCCTTCCCACCTCCCCGTTTCCCCTTCCCACTCCCCATTACCCCTTCCCGCCTCCCCCTATCCCTTCCCGCCTCCCCCTATCCCTTCGCGCCTCCCCGTTTCCCCTTCCCGCCTCCCCAATTCCCCTTCCCGCTTCCCCATTACCCCTTCCCGCCTCCCCGTTTCCCTTTCCCTCCTCCCCAATTCTCCTTCCCGCCTCCCCATTTCCTCTTCCCTCCATGCCCTCGTAACCATCTCTCCCGCCTCCCCTACCTGCCTGCCTACCCTTCCTTCCCCTGCCATAACCTTTCATCCAACTCCATCCCCTGGCAGCCCCTCCCATTCCATCCCCTTCCAGCCCCTCACATTCTCTTCCAGCCCCTCCCATCCCCTTTCAATCCCCTAACAGCTCCTCCCATCCCCTCCCATCCCCCTCCAGCTCCTTCCATCCCTTTCCAGTCCCTCCCATCCCCATTCAAACCCTTTCATTCTCCTTCCAGCCCCTCTGATCCTTTGCAGGCGACGAGGATGGTGTTGAAAATGACGAGGATGAAGGTGACATTGAGGGGTTTGAAAGAGAATGGGAATGGCCCATCAAGATAGATTTGCAGTGAGGGCCTGAGATGCATGGGCATACGATTACCCACATGCATGGTACGGTACTGATGAAAATTGGCCTACAGATGTTCTTTTCATATGTAATTAGTGAGAAGGTTGAGAGGAATGATTACAATCAAACTTGATAAAGTGTAGATAGCTATATGGCCATAACGTTCCTAATATCGTGTGAAGTGAGCTTGACAAACACAGAGTTAGAAGTGTATGCATGCTGTTTGAATCACCACCGGCGGCCGTCAACTAAGCAAAAAGATGCCGCACGTGCTGCCTGCTGCTGTTGCATGCCTGGCATTGGTGTGCAGCAGAGGGGAGCGAGACAGTGTGGGACGCTTGGTGGACCTGCTAGTGAGAGGAGTGGGGGGAACGGGACGGAGGAAGGGGAAAAAGGTGGCACATATGACAGAGCTCAAGCTAAGCCTGGAGAATTGCAGGTGGGAAAAGGAAAGTAATGAGGGGGAGAAAGAGCAATCCAGTGCCCACAAGATACACATTACCCCAAACCGGAAACGCAACCCTAAGAGATTTCCTAGCATGCATGCCTCACCATGCCACCACGAGAACCCACAGAGTACCAGAGTGCAGCGTGAAATACTGTGTGTGAGCCGCGAGGCAAGCGGTGGAATACGCACAGTACCTGCGGGGTTTGTAATGGGGGTCCAAGGTAGGGCATGAGTCTAGCCCTCTGCAACATCTGTCACCAAGGGAGGTTAATGAGAGGGACAAGGGGGGGAAGGGAGGGCGAGAAGGAGGGGAATGAGAGGGAGAAGGGAGGGGGCTGAGGGGGAGCTAGAGGGGGAATGAGATGGAGCAATGGGAGAAATGAGAGGGAGAAAGGGGGGAAATGAGAGAGAGAAGGGGGCGGGGGATGAGAAGGAGAAAGGAGGGATTTGAGAGCGAGAAGGGGGGGATTTGAGAGGGGGAATGGGGGGAAATGATGGTGAGCAAGGGGGAGAAAAGAATGGGAGAAGGGGGGGTAATGTGAGGGAGAAGGGGGGGGAACGAGAGGGACATGGGAGAACATGTGGGAGAGAACGGGGGGAAATGAGGGGGAGCAGGGGGAGGAATGATGGTGAGAGAGGGTGGGGGCTGAGAGCGAGAAAGGTTGGGAATGAGAGGGATAAGGGGGGGTGGATGAGAGGGAGAGGAGGGTATTCATCTGCGAGAGGGGGGGATTTGAGAGGGGGAAGGGGGGAGAGAAGGGGTGGAAATGAGGCAGAGAATGAGGGTAATGAAGAGGAGTAGGGTAGATAAAGGAGGGGGAGAAGAATATGAAATGAGAGGGACAAGGGGGGGTGAGAAGGGGGTGAAATGAGGGGGAGAAGGGGGGGAATGAGGGGGGAAAGGGGTGGATATGTGGGGGGGAAGGGGGGGGAAATGAGAGGAGTAGGGGGGGAAATGATGGTGATAAAGGGGGGGGGGGCTGAGAGGGAACAAGGGGGAAAATGAGAGTGAGCAAGGGTGGAATTGAGAAGCGGCAAGGGTGGAATTGAGGGAGCACGGGGGGAAGTGAGAAGGAGCCAGGGCAGAAATGAAGGGGAGCAGAGGGGTAGATGAGAGGGAGAATGGGGGTAAATGAGGGGGAGAAGGGGGGGAAATGAGGGGGAGAAGGGGTGGAAATGAGGGGGATAACGGGGGGAAATGAGGGGGAGAAGGGGGGGAAATGAGGGGGAGAACGGGGGGAAATGAGGGGGAGAAGGGGGGGAAATGAGGGGGAGAACGGGGGGAAATGAGGGGGAGAAGGGGGGGAAATGAGGGGGAGAAGGGGGGTGATGAGAGGGAGGATGGACAGCTAAGGGCTGAGGCGCGCCGCGGGTTCGGCGCTAACGGCGTGTGACATTTTTCAAAATCGCAGAAAGTCCGGACGTTGTGCGACGTACGTCCGAACGCTTGCAAAGCTGGCGACATCGTACGGTCGCTTTGCGACGTGGTAAGGACGCGAGGCGACACATACGACGTCGTTTCGATTCTGGACGAGCTAGCTGGCGAGCTGGAAGGATTCTGGTAACCACACAACCGTCCGAACGGCTGGACGTCTGGACAAAACAAAGGAAAAATGTCACACGCCCTAAGGGCTGAGGCGCCGCAGCGGGTTCGGCGATAAAGGGCCATGGTGCGCATCGGGTGAGGCGCTAAGTGGGAAAGGCGCGCAGCGGGTGAGGAGCCAAGCGGGAGAGGCCTACCTAGCGAGTGTTGAGAGTGGCGGCGTGGCCAACGCATGAAACGCGCATCCGCTCAGTGAACACGGCCCCTAAATTATCAATCGCGTGACGGCTTACTCGAGTGCGGCGACCCAGCGTCGTGATGCAAACCGTCGAGGCCTCGGTTCCTCTATCTGTGCTAGTTAGTCGCTTATCATGCTTCGGCTGGTGAGTCACTGCAAGGTTGGGTGACGGGGGAGTTTTCCGTGTTTGGAACCCTCAAAGGTGCAAGTTTTCGCAAAACCTCTCGCCACCCTCATTTGGTTTTGTTTGAGCGATTTTTTTTGGGATAATGTACAACCGTGAACAGTACTTGCAAATGTATACGAAAGCTTTAAGGGCTCCTTCACGTCTTGCGGTTCTAAAAAACAGCAATTGCGGTTCCTTGCTCTGTACACTTTCCCCGAAACAATCCCTCTAGACCAGGTTCGAGGTTGAACGACGCGAAGCACCGTAATCGTGTAACATCCATCTGGTCTCGACGCAACACACAAGTTTGACGACAATCGGAGTCTTCGAGCGAAAATATATTTGCTTTCGTGAGAACTCCCAAGCCTCGGAACTGGGTCAGGCACCGGTTCGGCGCCTTGTCGCACGCGCAAAAATCGTGCGAAAGACGTTATAATCGCGTCCAGAAGTCAGCACTAATAGTGGTTACACTCACGTTATCTGTAATGGAGTACGCAAATCAGTAGTTTTTGTGCAACCTGACGAGCCCTCAACGATCGTCCCACGGGCCACGGCCCACCTCGCCACCACGCACCGCCCCTGAGGTGTGTGTCCAGCCCTGGCTTGCTGTTAGCTACTTATAAACCACTCTGTATTCTGGATTAAACTTTTTGGACCACAGAGTAAGCACTTGAACCCAGTCGGAATTTGGTTCGGCACGTTCACACAGGGCAGGTTTGTGTTTCCACACTTGGGGGAAGCATGCTTCTGCAAATGGCGAGGCCACAGCGAGCCGCAAATGAACCAATGGGCCACTCCGAGCCTGATTCTTACTTGCACCACCAAGCAACGATGACGGTGGCCGTTGACAACAAGCACAAGTAACTGAACTCCTCCGTCAGAAATGACTTCTTTTACGGGTAACCAGCGCTGGACGACACCGCATTACGTTCGCTACTACTTCGTCCGCCACAAACGAAGCTGGTTCGCGACGGTTGAATCACCGACTTGGCTTGGACGCGGCACGTACATGTCGAACGTGAATGGTTTGGGAGAAACCAGCCTAACGATATTTGGGTGACCGTTCAGGTTTGCGTTCAGGGGTGTCAAATATTGGCGCAAACTGGACGGAAGTCGTCGCGACTCGAAACCCCCTTAGCGTTTCTCTGATGGATGTGTGCATGGCGAAATTGATGCACTCTTTACCTGAATTACAATATATTACTGTAGAGTCTGCTCCTAGCGAGGACAACCCGGACGCTTTGCGTCAGTTTGGGTTCGGCCTGCACTTTGGCCCGAACCACATCCCGAGTCGTCCCGCACCAATCGCGACATTTCCAACCCACGCACGTCCCGAGGCCCTGGCCTAGCACGGCTTCCGCCCTATAAATGCTCGCTTTCTTCATTATGTCAATCTTCATGACATTACTTTTGTAGATGTATGTATGTAAGGGGGGGAACACCTACTGGCTGCATACATTGCCCTGCTGCATGAATACGAAGTCCCACATACGAAAGGTGAATGTCCTATCGGAATGCGATACATTGAGGCGTTAAAGCCCGGGTACAGCATGGTACTTTTCAAGTTCAAGATTCTTGAACTTGAAGTCGCTAAAAACAGGGTTACCCTCTTCTGTTTGAAAGAACTCTCGCGACCCAGGGAAAACGTCTTGCGACGGTCATTCCTGATTGGTTCCTGTGCCCAGTAGCACAACAGATCCGAACATCGCCCACCAGCTTGCCGTGGTCACCTCTCACATAACTTGACGACCAAGTAGTACTCCTAATCCACTAGGGTAGGCACGTAACTAGGAAACGCGCGGCAGGGCGGTAAAAGCTAGTCTAGGTAGAAGCTTTTTTTTTCCGTCCAACTCTCGTCACTCCTGCTGTCAAGCCAATAGCTGAGCAACACCCGCTTCTTGCCAAGCACGCTATTACCCTACCATTTTCGCATGCCGGCCACGGGACGCCCGTTCTAGCGCACCACAGGAGGGTAAAGGCTGCTGGTTACCTCCATGACAACCCCCGCAACGCATTGGCCAGCATAGCATGGCCCGCCCAACAAACTCTTTGCTTCGATCCGCCTTCAGGCCACATCCTCGCCTCGTCTAGACACCCACACTTAGTATTTGGCGAGTGCATCACCTCATCGTCCGCGCTTCCCTCGCGATTCGCGCAACCCCACGTTACGAGCGCTGCTGCACTCGCGCATGCCCTCGTCGCCCGCGCGTCCCCTCGTCGCACAATGTTTCCCTCGTCGCAAGCGTTTCCCCTCGTCACGGAGCTTGCCCTCGTCTCCCACGCTCACCCGCGCTTCCCACGCTTACCCGCGTTTCCCGCGCTCTCCAGCGTCACCCGCGCTTTCCCGCGTCACCCGCACTTACTGTACCTGCGTCATCCCCACTTACCCGCGCTTAACCGCATTTCCCGCACGTACCCGCATTTCCCGCGCGTACCCGCATTTCCCGCGCGTACCCTCGTTTCCCGCGCTTACCCGAGGTCACCCGTGCTTTCCTGCATCATCACCGCTTGCCCGCGTCTCACGCTCTTTCCCGCGCTTACCTGAGGTCACCCGTGCTTTCCTGCATCATCACCGCTTGCCCGCGTCTCGCGCTCTTTCCCGCGTGTGAAACGCTTACCCGAATCTCCCTCATTCTTCCCCCGTCGCTTGCGTTGCTTCTCAACGCCCTCGCCTCCCGTTGTCGCCTCTGTTTCCCCAATCTACACGCACTTCCCCTTATCCCCATGTCTATCTAAGTCGCCACTCCCCGTCGGTAGCGAAGGCCCCCACACACCACCAGCATTCCCCCCACTTGTCCGCCTCCCTTTCCCCCCACACACCACCAGCATTCCCCCCACTTGTCCGCCTCCCTTTCCCCCCACACACCACCAGCATTCCCCCCACTTGTCCGCCTCCCTTTCCCCCCACACACCACCAGCATTCCCCCCACTTGTCCGCCTCCTTTCCCCCCCACACACCACCAGCAATTTCCACTCCCTCCTCCCTGCTTCCTCCATCCCTCCGCCCTGCTTCCCCCCTCCCTCCGCCCTGCTTCCCCACTCCCTCCGCCCTGCTTCCCCCCTCCCTCCGACCTGCTTCCCCCCTCCCTCCGCCCTGTTTCCCCCCTCCCTCCGCCCTGCTTCCCCCCTCCCTCCGCCCTGCTTCCCCCCCACCCTCCGCCCTGCTTCCCCCCTCCCTCCGCCCTGCTTCCCCCCACCCTCCGCCCTGCTTCCCCCCTCCCTCCGACCTGCTTCCCCCCTCCCTCCGCCCTGTTTCCCCCCTCCCTCCGCCCTGCTTCCCCCCTCCCTCCGCCCTGCTTCCCCCCACCCTCCGCCCTGCTTCCCCCCACACCCTCTACATGCTTCCCCCCATCCCCTTCCCTGCTTCCCCCCATCCCCTTCCCTGCTTCCCCCCATCCCCTTCCCTGCTTCCCCCCATCCCCTTCCCTGCTTCCCCCCATCCCCTTCCCTGCTTCCCCCCATCCCCTTCCCTGCTTCCCCCCACCCTCCGCCCTGCTTCCCCCCTCCCTCCGCCCTGCTTCCCCCCACCCTCCGCCCTGCTTCCCCCCTCCCTCCGACCTGCTTCCCCCCTCCCTCCGCCCTGTTTCCCCCCTCCCTCCGCCCTGCTTCCCCCCTCCCTCCGCCCTGCTTCCCCCCACCCTCCGCCCTGCTTCCCCCCACACCCTCTACCTGCTTCCCCCCATCCCCTTCCCTGCTTCCCCCCATCCCCTTCCCTGATTCCCTCCCCCCTCTGCCCTGTTCCCACCTGCCGTCCCCATCCCTGCCTTTCCCTCCCTGCCCTGCCCTTCCCTTCCCCATCCCTTCTCAACCCTTCCCTTCATTTTCATGCCCTCCCCCCTTCCTCACTCTCGTTCCCATGCATGTGCACCCATCACTGTCTCCCCATACATGCTATCATCATGTGTACTTGCTTGTATCCCCTTGCCGTTGTTCCCTTGCACCTCACACCACCTCCCCCATGTTTCTCCACACAATTCTTTCTGCCTACTCCACTCCCCTACTCAGCAGAGGAGCAAGCTGAGGCGCAGCTAGTCGATGCTTTACACCGTAGCACCGCCTGATTCTTGTGTGTTGTATGCAACAATAGAGCAGCCATTACTGTTGGAGATATCCATCTCAAAGGCACAATATGTACTTTTGTTTCTGCAGTGCAACATATTCTTACAAGATGCATGGACACTAAGAGTGTCAGAAGGGTACATAGAGGCATGTTCCTAATACTTCTGATTGTTGTACCTTTCTCAAGGCCTCGAAAAAACACGAGGGGAACTGGTTTCTCTACGAGCATGGCATGGGATGATGGGCTGAGGCGAGTTGCAGTATCAGAAAAATCTTCAGTGTAGTCACTGCAATAGCGAGGAAGAGGGAGACAATAAGAGGGATTGGGAGGGAGAAAAGAAAAAGGTCAAACAGGGGAGATATGGGACATATGGGAGAGTAGGGAGGGAAATGATGAGAAGCAGGGAGAGAAAGGAGGAGAAGCAAGGAAAAATGATGAGAAGCAGGGAAAAATGATGAGAAGCAGGGAAAAATGATGAGAAGCAGGGAAAAATGATGAGAAGCAGGGAAAAATGATGAGAGGCAGGGAAAAATGATGAGAAGCGGGAAAAAATGATGAGAAGCAGGGGAAAATGATGAGAAGCAGGGAGGGAAATGAGGGGCAGCAGCGGGGGAAATCAGGGGAGGTGGGGGGGGGGGAATGAGGGGAAGCAGGAGGGCACAAACAAGGACAGTGGGGAGGAAAATGAGGTGAAGCAGGGAGAGAAATGAGTGGCAGCAGTGGGGGAAATGAGGGGAAGCACAGGAGGAAATGAGGGGAAGCAGGGGGGAAAATGAGGGGAAGAAAGGGGGTAAAGTATATGAGGGGAAGCAAGGGAGGAAAGGCGAGACAGAGGAAAGGGGGAAGTGCGGAAGAAAGGAAGGGTGCAAGTGAGGAGATTGGACGATGATCAGGAGCATTGGAGAGGGGGTGAGGGATTCGGGGGTGCAGCCTGTTTTCCTGCATCGCCTTAGATCTCACACGTGGCATGTGTGGTCCTCCCCTCCTGTTGCTAGATGGTACCCGTCGGGGGAAAAGTCGCACGCTAGCAGCTGCAAGGGAGGGTGGGACAGGGAGCACAGGGAGTGAATAAGGGTCAATGCGTGCTTCCCTGCATCGCCTCAGATCTCACATGCGGCATGAGTGGTCCTCCACTCCTGTGGCTAGTGTGGTATATGTTGGGGGAGAATTCGCATACAGGAGCTGAAAAGGGAGGAGAAGGGAGGGCAGGGGGACCACAGCATGAGGGATAGACGGGGGGAAGGGGGGACAAGGGAAGACAGAAAGGCCGGGGAGAACAGGGAATGAGGGATAGAACCAAACAGGGAGGGAGGGAGGGAGTGGGGAGTGCGTGTAGGGGTGCGAGTGGATTGGCAGCAGTGAGCCTGCCCCTATCCCACTCCTAGTCCTAGACCTACCCCCCATTCCTGCACCTGTCGTACCTGTCAGCACCAGCCGTGGCAAGGTTGGGGCCGGAGGCGGGGAGAGAGGAGAGCGCGTGGGGGTGCTAGGCCACACATGTGGCACGCTCTGAGTGGCCGCGCAGTGCACCCGCCGCCCGCACAGCTGGCTGCGACCAGAGGCGGCAGGCGCCGCTCCACCCCGAGGTGGCGATAAGAGATGCGTCGGGGGAGAGAGCACAGGAAGAAATGGGGCGCTCATCGCCTATCTTTGATACCTGTAGGCGGGGGGGTGGCGTGGGTGTTGCGGGGGTGTGGGGTGGGGTGGGGTGGGGTGGGTTGGGGTGGGGCGCTCGTCGCCTATCTCTAATACCAGCGAGTGTGTGGTGGGTGGGGCAGCGAGTATGAGGGTAAGAAGCTGGCAGCGAGCACAGCTGGCAGCGACCAGAGGCGGCAGGCGCCGCTCCACCCTGACGTGGCAACAAGAGAGGCGTCGGGGGAGAGGGAACAGGCGAGATGGGGCGCGCGTCGCTTATCTCTGATACCACCCAGTACCGCTCTCAACCCACATGCATGCTCATCCCCTGCACCATGCCAATCAACTCCTTCGCCTCCGCTCTTCGTCCTCATTGGGATCCTTCACCTGAATTATCATTCCCTGCACCGCTTGGTACAGCTCTCAACCGACCTGCATGCTCATCCCTTGCACCGCGCCATCAACTCCTTCGCCTCCGCCTCCTCGTTCTCATCGGGATCCTCGCGCCGCCGCTTCGCACGCCGAATCCCTTAACCCTGCCCGGGGCAGCGAAAACACCGCAATCTCCTGCAGCGCCAGCAGCAGCTCCTTGCTCCCCTTGGTATAAATCAACTCCGCTTGAGGTACATCCTCCGCTTCGAGAACCTCCGCGCCGCCTTCCCTGCTTTGTCCGCATTTGCCGCTCGATCGCCTCGTAAAGCCCGTCGAGCCGCCCCTCGGCGTCTAGCTTAGCCATGAACGACCTAAGTCGGTCGCGCCGCTCCATTTCGCGCTCGCCTAAGAGCGTGATTGGCTCGCCGATCGCGCGGAGCTGCAACCGCACCGCCGTGTCGCTAGTAGGCACGCGAGCGCGCGAGCGCGGCGCTCATTTCCTCAACTCTCCAATGCTTCCTCAACAAGCGTGTTTCCCGTATGTCCCCTTTGGACTTGCACGTTCCTACACACCCCTCCGCTGTGTTGTTGACAGCTCCTGAGATAATCGCGTCGCCAGTATTCTGAGGTGAGCCTCGTGTCGAACACGTTTCCTTTGTCGCATCGATTTACCGATTTGAGTCTGAGTGGGTGTTGGTAGCTCGTGCGGCGATGTTTTACTACTCTCCGTTAGTAGAGGCGAGTCGAGTCAGTGGTGAGGAGGAGACTTCGGCCACACTTTCTGTGCTCTTCGTAAGGGCGTGTAAAATTGTAATGACCAAACGATATGGTCGCTCATATGGGCGCTTCTAGCGGTTGCGAGGTATTTAGGGTTACGCCAATTCGAGTATTCACCCCGAATTGGCAGAATTGCTAAGGTATTTTCCGCATATAAATGTATGAATCTCATTTTGGGGAATTCCAATACTGACGGGGAGAAAACATTTTTGCGTGCCTAAACCCGCTGCTTTGTTAAACACCCTTGTCTAGGCTTCAGATTCCACGTATTCCATACCCAGTTCGAATGCTTTAAAGGAAATCAAAACTTTCGCTTTTCATTTAGGGGATGGTCTGGGGTGGGTGCCCCATAAGCTGACGAATCTTGTGGCGGGGTTCGCTTTCGCGTTACAGATTTCGCACTCGCCTGAAACGAGCATACGATCGACCATTTGGTTTCGGCGTTACAATTTTACACGCCCTAAGAGTGTGAAAGCTTCTGATTGGATAAAGTATCTGTTCATGCGACTCAATTTTCGCACAGGGTCAGTGGGTATCGCTGGTTTGGTGTGAGCGAAATGCAAACGTGCTCGCGGAGGAACATAATCCTCGCCAGAGCCACACAACCGAAATAGGTTTCGCACACCCTCACCTACTGCCTATTTCAAATCCACAGAACTTGAAAATTTACCATGCTGACCCCGGGCTTTAAGCTGCAGGACTAGTTAGAACGTAGGCGGGCAAGCTGCTGGTCTAGGTACGAATGTAGGCCCTGTTCGACAGGCAGGCACCTCCTTGGAGAGCTAGGGTTAGGCTAGAGCTAAGAGGAGTTTTCGAAGTAACTTCCCCTAGGCTACCCCCCTACCCACGAAATCGGAAGCAGCGCCTCCCGAGGTCAGAAGGAGGGGGTCGTCATGGCGATGTTGCAACCCCTCCTTCCACTATCTTCATCGTGGGCAGGGTCTAAATTTTTGTATTGGGATGGCATGGGAACCTGGGTAACTCAAGGGAATAAAAATTATTGGAGAAGTGGAGAAGTGAGAGTCGTGCGTGGCTGGTGGCTGGTTTGGTTGTGGGAGGAAGAGACTTTTTCAGGGCAGAGATGGGAGAGGCGAGAGCACAGGCACTGGTGGAAAAACTTTAGTAGGGTATGGGGTGGGTATTCCCTCCCGTATGGAACCCTAGCCTAGCCCTTGGCCAACCTCCATTCTGGGGATTGGAGGGCTGGGCTAGAGCTAGGCTAAAGTCTGTGTGGGAGAGAAGGGGCTGGGAGCTTTCGGGGGGGATGAACTTGAAGGGTTAACGTCGCGTTCGACAGGCTAACCCTTAACCCTTCAGGTTCCAGGGCGTTAAAGCCCAGTGACACCAGATTGCGGGCTGACCGTGAAAACAAAACCTATGTGGAAACAGCCGCGATGATTCCGCAGAAGGGCTTGCCTGCCTGTCGAACACCCCCGTAGGTACAGCTGGTGAATTGGATGAGGAGTGTGCCAAATCGGTTGGGACTGAACATCGGCAGGTTGGTGGCCTGCTAGAGTATCTCCTCGAAAAGTTTCGTGGGAAGACCAATCAATATCGTGGGCAGGAGTGAAATCTGGTGGTGCGGGAGATTGAGAAATTGGTCGAGGCTTCGTGGCAACATCCGCCCAGCAAATTGAGGGATGAGACATTTCGACGAGAAGTTACTCGGAAGGTCTATTCCCGTACATGCGGAGGCATTAACGCCTACAGAACAGCGCCAAGGTTTCTGTTTCAAGTTTTAACGGTTTATTCAAAATAGCATGAATTTCAGCCTGATTTGACGGCCCCCAACTGGAATGTCAGAGATGACAACATAACTTCTATACCGATGAAACCTGATCCAAACAGGCCCTCTGGAAGAGGAATCTCCAGCGGCGGTACTTTCGCCTTCCACATCGCACCAGCCCTATCAGCAAGAAGCAGGGTGTGTCACGATACGTTATGTACGGTTCGTTTAGTTTCTGTGCGTTTAAAGGTTAGAGTAGAACGTTAAAACGGTTAGTATGGCTGTCAGTAGCGCACCCCAGCTTTTCTCGTCACCAGCACACTAGTCAGACAGTGCTTGCCTAGGTTTGTCCGCTGCAGTCTAGTCTGTCAAATACCTTGAGATGTTCGCCGTCACACTTCAAACCGCAGCGGCACAATCGAAGACACGGAGGTGGCCTCGGTACAGTATCTGAAAGCAATCTAGGGCGGCGAACAGGAACGGTCACGTGCTCGGTGATTGTATTGGATTCTTGCGATGGTGATTGCAGTTATGGCGACCGTTGTCACAGGACGCGTCGGAATGCGTCAACGTCAGACTCACTGCAACGGATATCGTCAGCTTTCGACGTGTCGCCAATTCTCCACTATCTCACGGCGATCAGCATCCGAGAGCTTTTTGGGGATTCTCACCGGCGGTCCCATGCCTCCCTGTCGCTCCGCCGTCTCACAGCGATCAGCGATCAGCAGCGCGCAACCAGCGTGCACGTTACTACCCACGCCACGACGTGTCGCTCTCATCAGTGTCACTGCGACCCACCGCCGGCGGAACAACATTCGTTGTCATTCCGCCATCGCACTGCGACAGCCCACCTTGCGCGGTGCTGCTGCTCACGGTTCACGGACCATGTGTAGGAGACGCCTTTTGAGTCATGAAACGACTAAAAAAACTAAGGAGTAGCTCCGTGAGTCTTATTTGAAGTGAGCTCGTGGACCAACCAAGCAGTAGTACTACGCGTGAGTCACAGGTCACTGGTCATTCTCAGAAAAAGGAACAGCTTAAACCCTCACACCTCGCGCGAGTCACGCACATGGGGTACTGGAAGGGGTGAGATCTGGGAGACGGGGGCTGCAGGAGCAGCCGGCTGGGCTGGGTGTGGCAGACGATTTGAGCGCAGGTGCTGCTAGCATCCCTGATCCTTCTGCCGGTAATGGTACTAGTGGTGGTGGTGGCAGCAGCGCCACTGCTGGAGACAGTGTCAGTCCCCCCGGTAGCCTTACTGGAGCTGGTAACGCCACAGCTCCCATCAGCAGCAGCAGCATAACGCCCGGGGGGAACAGCAGTTCTGCTGGTAACGCCACTGCTGCTGGCAACTTGACCGGAGGCGGTAACTTCACTGGGGTTGCTGGCAATGGCACGGAGGGGGGTGCAGTGCGGTACTTCACGGTGGGGCAGGAGGCGTTCGTGTGGGGGTCTCCTCTGGTCACCTTCTTCCGCCAGCAAGCCACCCGCGCTGCCCTCAACGCCTTCTCCTACGCCAACACCACCGCCGTTGTCGGCACCACCAGTGAGTTGCACTCTCCTTCTCATGCACGTTGAGTATTGCTCTTGATGCCAACACCGCTGTCGTCGGCACCACCAGTAAGTCATGCTTGGTATTAGGTGCATCCTTCTAATGCATTCTTCTGACTCACACTGATGATTGTTCTTCTCCTTCGCCAACTCGTTCCCTCCCCGCCATCCACCTTAAAGCCTTCCTCGCTTCTTTTGACACCACTCTCATCATCTTTCCCCACATCAAATCCCCCAAGACGTGGCTCGCCCCAATGTGGACACCGTGTATGGAGGAGGCAGAAGCACGTTTCCCCGTCTCGCCCCCCTCTCCTTTCCCCCCCTTACCACCCATCCGTGGCTCTCCCCAATGTGGACACGGTGTATGGGGGAGGCTGAAACACATTCACCCTTCTCGGTCTCTCCTTGCTCCCCCCACTTCCCCTTTCTTTCAGACGTGGCGCTCCCCAATGTGGACACGGTGTATGGGGGAGCCTTCCTCTACCTGCGAGACCAGCCCATAGTGTTGAAGACCCCCTACATGGGCCAGGGGCGTTACTACAGGTGAGGATCGCTCTAACAGGGTTTTTTGGTGCTGCAC